CAGTCTCAGTCTCAGTCTCAGTCTCAGTCTCAGTCTCAGTCTCAGTCTTAGTCTCAGTCTCAGTCTCAGTCTTAGTCACACTCTCTTTCTCAGTCTTAGTCTCTCTCTCTCTCTCTCTCACTCTCTCTTTCTCTCTCACACACAATTCACATAAACATTCGCTCATATGTATATCTGGCATTATGCTCACGTCTTAACCATTTTATGGCTCAGAGGGTGTAAAGCGTCTGTATGAATGGAAAGCTGAATGGAAAACAAAACCGAAATACAAATGAAAAAGTTGTCACCAGCTGCCGTTTTCAATCTTAATATTTGATGTCACACGTCGCACTCGAAAAGCAGCTGCGACTCGCTTTTTCTCTCGTTTCTCAGATTCAGCAGCTCGTTGTCGTGTTCACATGTTAACGATTTATTCCAGAGCCCCGTGACCTAGTCTCCGCAGTCAATGTAACAGATAGTTAAACTGAAAAAAGAATATGTATAATGAGAAAATGGAATATGAAAATTGGAAAATGAGGCATACGAAATGCAGGACATTAACAATTTAATGCCTTTACACTTGACTTTTTCTCTCGAATTTCGAATGCAATGCATAAATTGGCTAATAATATATGAGGGTCCAGCTTCCTGGCCTAAATGGTCCCGCATACGAAATGAGCTCCAGACAAGCGACTCTTTTGGCCAACTTCTTCGTCCCGTTCTCTGGGCTAGTTCCGAATGGAAATGAGTGGATTGTCTGTTGCGCACGGCTAAGCAGAAATGAACTGATTTTTTTCCTTTGTTCGACTAATGTTCCTTAGATTGAGCGATATTTCTGTGAGACATGTCTGCCGAAGAGCGCTGAGCGGAGATAAAATGAAAAGAGGAATTGTTGCGCGATAGCTGAGACCCGAGTCTCTGGAAAGTGCAGACTCGCGCCTCAAGCCCGCACATGGCAAAACAATTTAATGCTTCATTGAGAGCCGCACATGTCGCTGGCAAATGACAGCCAATTGCTGGCGATAAGAACAGATCCTAGCCCACCACAAATAAGACAAGGACATTAGCCTGAAATCTTTATTGACTGTGTAATGCTCGCTTCGGGCTTAATTAGAGGTGGAATTAAAAGTAATGCAAAGTGTATTTATATCTTACAAGTGTGTGGAATATATATATAAATCATAGATATGCAGATATATAGGTATATCTATATAGATTTACAGATGTGTAGATATATAGATAAAGAGATATGTAGATATATAGATATATAGATATGCAGATATTTAGATATTTAGATATATAGATATATAGATATATAGATAAATAGATAAATAGATATATAGATATATAGATATGTAGATATATAGATATATAGATATTTAGATGTATAGATATATAGATATACAAATGCATAGATATATAGATACATATATAGATATATGAATGTATAGAAATATAGATAAAATTAAAAAAGTTTTATCTCATCAATGAAAAATCCAATTTGAGTGAAATAATTTTTTTTTTTTAATTAATCATTAATTAAGGCGATTTTCAAATCTGAAAATTTGAATCTATATGATATTACTTGTATTAATTTAACTCGAAAATTGTTGAACAAAATTTGTATTTTAATAGATTTTTGAACATGTTTTAAATTTTTAGTGAACGCACTTAATTTTAGGTATTATAATATCTAAAGCAGTTGACATTAAATTGTCTTAAAAAAAAAATTAAAATAAAATAAAAACTAGTTGAATCTGATCTTAATAACTTGATAATTCGAAAACACAGAAAATATTAAAAAGTTAAATCAGAATCCGTTAATATATAAATGCTTAAAGGGCTGAAATTACTTTAGATTTAATAGGGTCCACAAAATAGAAATATATTTATAATAATCATATTATATTAATATATATCTATATATTTATTATATTGATTTAATTGAATATTATTATTGATATATACATTTTCTTATTATTATTTTTATATTTTTTATATTATATTAATCTGATTAAATTGAATTAGTATTACTAATATGTGATATGTAATATGATTTAGCTTCAACAAAAATATTTGCATATAAAGATTTTAATATATAACAAAACTTGTATACCCTGATTTACCATTTTCAAAAATAAATAATAAATAAAACATTATTATATAGTTCTTATCCTACTTACTTATGTGCCCCATTTAACAACTCTCAATTCAACATGTGACATTTGACTTCTAAAATAACAAACTAATACACTCCGCTTGCACCCACTTGAGCGTGTATTAAAAGCCAACTACAAATACAAAAGCAAAAAAAAAAGAAAAAAAAAAAAAACAGTTTTGCAGTCACTTTCATTGCGCCGAGTTGTCAGCAAAAGGCGGCCGTGGCCCAAACAAAGTGGCAGCGACTCATTGCAGGTACTGTGGGAGTGGGGAGGGGGCGCTGTCTGCAAGGGGTGGAACAAGGAATGTGGAGCGAGTCGCACACATTTATTTATTGAACACTGCGATAAACATATATGAAAAATGCACATGCGGCTGGGCGCCAAGTTCAATTCCGCAGGCCAAAAGTTTACGCCACTTAATAGAACTTGACGCAAATTCAATTACAGACACACAGGCCACGCACCCCGCCCCCGAGAAGTTGTGTTGAAGAAATTTGCGGAAAAACGTTGCCTTCGAATTTGCTGTGGAAAACTTTTTGCCCACCGGCGGCGGTTTTTTGTGTGATTTCAGTAAACGTTGTCACAGCTCAGTTCAATATCTCTCTCGCACTCACTCACTCTCCCTCTCTCTGTCTCGCTCTTTATTAGTTCTCTGGCTCTAGCTATGGCTCTTGGCCAGCATTCGATTTGGAAGTTTTTCGCTTGCGGCTGTTTACACTGCAACAACTCCAACCTCTAGCGGCACCACCCCCACCTCCTGCTCCTCCTCCACCCCACTCCACGCTTCAGCTGCAATTAGCAAATAAAACTTGGCATATTCGAAGCGTCAATGAGTCGACGGCGGCGCGCTGCGTGAAAACTTTTGCAATCACTTTCCATTCGCTTCTTATTGGCCCAAAAAGTCTCGGCCAACTGCTTGACTTGTAGCTGCATTTCTCTTGTGACTCAAGGAGTCACAGAAGTCCTTTGAAGTTGTTACTTGACTGCTTATAGTTTGCGGGCATTGGGATCAGACCCTGTCATCAATGGACCGAGCGTTAATTTCAATTTGATATCAATATTAATTGCGTTGGAAATTATTGTTAATTTAAATTAAGCTAATGCTCATTTAGATCAATAATAATGCAAATTAATATTATATATGCATATTAATACTTGTAGGGAATTTAATACATTTTTAATCATTAATAATGTAAAATTTTTGAAATGCATATATATTTTTGTCATGCAATTTAATAAATATATATTTTTTTTGATTTGCTCATTTTAATTTACAAATATTTTAGGATTTATATTACATTAGTATATATATTTTAATATTGTATAAAACATTATTCATTATTAAAATATGTTTTTATATTTTTTATTTATTGCAAATTAACTGTATTTTAGATAGTTTAATTATTCAGCAAACAAAGAGACTTTGCTTCTTTGGTTGCTGTCTGTGCTAGTCCCGCAGTACCACGCTACTCAACAATAGATGGCGCCAGCGTGCTGACGATGCAAGGGCTAGCAGCTCTGGCAGGCTGGCCCATAGATGGCGCACTAGACGCAATGCTCAACACAAGAGGGCGATAGTAAAAGATTTTAGAATTACAATTAACAATTAATAAATATATTATAAAATTTGATATAAGTTAAAAATATTCAAATTAAATAAAATGTAAGACTACGAAAGAAATTATTGTAAACTGAATTTTAAATTAAAAAAAAACAAAAAAAAAATTTAACAACAATAAAAACCATTTATTAAAAAAAAAACAACGTTTTTTGAACATTTTATATTTATTTTTATAAATATCGTAACAGCCTTAAAACATTAAAATTAATTAAAAAATTGTATATATGATAACAAATATTTTATAAATTTTTTTTATTAATATATAATTGGCAAAATCAAAAAAAATAAGTACCGACTGAAAAAAAGTTTTTTGTACATTATATGTGTATTTATTTTTATAAATATCGTTACAGCCAGAAAACATTAATACCAAATTGTATATACGAAAAAAAAAAATTATACATATGTTTTATTAATATATAATTTTACACATATCAAAAAACAAAAATTTTAAAATACAAACAATTTTTTTTATTGAATTTTTTTATATAGAAAATTTATTTTTGCCTTAAACAGACTAATTTGAAAGTCTCTTCACATTTATATCATATTGTTAATGAATAATATATTATTATATTATTAATAAATAAGAAGTAAAACAAAAATGAATAACAAAATTTGTAATTGATATATTCATAAGCCTATTCTAAGTTGAGCATTAAATTATTGCCCAAATGCATCCGCAGCACGTTCCCCAGCTTCAGCTGAGCCGATCTTCGGTCCTCTCGCATGGCATGCGAAATAGCTGAGATAAACAGCTGCACGCCGCAGCATGAAATAGTTTTGGGCGTATATTGGGCTGTGTTTGTTATAAATACGTGAGCTTTGGGTCAATAGCCAGACACACTCGAGCGACGATGCACTGCAATTGGCTGTTGGGTTTGGCTTTGACGGTGGTGCTGCTGCTGCTGCAGCTGCAGGTGCCCGGCGGCGAGGCGAGGCGACAGATGAAGCGACACACGAGGTGGCATCATCGGCCGCATCAGATCAGTTTGCGCAGGGAGACGAGGCACGAGGATCGATTCAAATTACTTCAATTCGAGATACCAGCACTGCTGGCCAAATTCAAGATCCGAGTGAGACGAGGTCCATTGCGCTTGATGTCGACCCGCATCGGGGCTGATGAGGGCACCGTGATGTTGCCCCTGGTGAATGCGTACAATACGGAGTACTTTGGCAACATCACGATCGGCGGCAATCAGACCTTCAAGATACTGTTCGATACGGCCTCCGCGAACCTGTGGATACCCTCCGTCCAGTGTCCGCCGGAGAGCTGCCTGCATCTGCAGCGGTACGACAACAGCCTCTCGAGCAGCTACCGGGCCAATGGCAGCGCCTTTCAGATCCAGTATGCCACGCGCAACAATCAGCCGACCATACTGAAGGGCTTCCTCTCCACGGACACCGTGGAGCTGGCCGGGCTGGAGATCAAGGGCCAGACGTTTGCGGAGATCACGACGCTGCCGCCGAACGTCTTCCACAAGTCCAATTTCGATGGCATCTTCGGGCTGGGCTTCAAGGAGATCGCTATCGATGGCGTCATCCCGCCCATGTACAACATCATTGAGCAGGAGCTGATTGGCCAGCCCACCTTCTCGTTCTATCTGAATCGCGACAATACGGGCAAAGTGGATCCATCCGGGGGCAAGCTGCTGCTGGGGCCGAGTGATCCCACGCTGTACAGCGGCTGCATGACCTTTGTGCCGCTCTCCAAGATCGGCTACTGGCAGTTCACGGTCGCCAGCATCGAGCTGGGCGACAATCAGCTGTGCAAGAAATGCGAGGCCGTCGTCGATGTGGGCACCTCGCTGATTGTGGCGCCACCGGCGGTGCTGCGCCGCATCAATGCCCAGCTCGGCCTGACCGAGGCGGACAAGCGCGAGGGCGTCTACACGCTGCCCTGCTCCCGTCTGCCCAAGCTGCCCAAGCTCACGTTCAACATTGGCCGTCGCGATTTCGTTCTGTCGCCCTCCGACTACGTTGTGCGCTTCAACAACGTCTGCGTCTCCGGCTTCACCAGCCTCGAGGAGGGCAGCGCCGAGCTCGAGGACGACAGCGGCACTGACTACGACAACCTCTGGGTGCTCGGCGACGTCTTCATGGGCCCCTTCTACATGGAGTTCGACATGGAGTACAAGCGCATTGGCATCGCACCCAAAACATAGAAGTACAAGAATTTCCGATTTAATTAGCAAAACATATTTTGTATTTATATTTTGCATAGTCTATTAAATTTAATACAACAAAAATTATTATTTGAATCTTAAATCATACTCATTCAGGAAAGCAAAGCGAGTATATTGGTTTTGTGCGTGAGAGACTGCGGCTAGAGACTTGTCGAGCTATCGAGTGTCTAGATTTCCACCCACTAAGGGCGTGGCAGACCAGAAGGTACATTATTCAGTAGCTCAGGAACCATGGTGGTGCAAGTATTAATCTGTTGAAATTAGCAATAAATACTCGAGTTGACAACCCAGAAGCAATAAGATAGGCGGATATATCCACGCCCATTTGTCTCCTTGCATTTGAATTTGAAAAATGTGTCTGACAGCCTTTTTGGCCATTAATGAGTATTTTGTAGTGGGTAACGCCCGACTGCAAAAAATCGTATCTTGACTGATTATATGTACATAAGTATTTTACAATTATATTAATTGGCTTTATTCAAAATATATATATTCAAAATTTTTTATATTGATCGCCTTTAAGTTGATATCAAAATAATTTCACTCAATTAAAATTTTAGGTGAAAAAAAAAAAATATCGAAAATAAGTGAGAGTTCGTCGAGTCTTCAATCCACTTTTAAGACATAAATATATGTACATACATACATACATACATACATGTATGAGCGAGCCTTGGCATTGAATAGATGTTAGTTAGTCTTGATATATGGCTAATCTGATAATAATATTGTAAAGGTCTCTCAGGACATACAAACAATTATAAAATACATATTTTCACAATATTATTAATCGTTCAGTTCTCATTGATTAATTATTATGATGATTTACAAGACATAAAAAAATTTGATGTCAGTTTATATTTTGTTAAATATATTTATGATAAACACTTTTCATATCACTTCACATATCATATCTAAAAATATAATCAACTTAATTTGTTTATCACAATTCGCAAAACTCATTTGTAAACACGATAGTCGATTTTTTGCTTACGTTTTCCATATTTTGATAACGTCGCTTTGCAGTTATCGAATTTCTTCACACAATTTCATTGTTTACGTCGCCGAAATGAATTACTTTTCTTTACATATTCAAGAACAATGCGTAATAAATGGCTTTTTGCATTTGCTCAATTAATTTCGAGACGAGTGATAATGCCAGAGCTTAGCACGTGTAATTTTAGCGCAGGTTATGTTATGAGTACACTGCGAGAAATTTGTATAAATATTGAATTTTATTATGATTTTATTACATTTATTATTTAAATTATTTATTAGAATATTATTACTCAGCATAGGGCCTTAAATGAAATGGAGAAAAATATGCATAAAATACTCTTTCAGTTTAATCAAATATTTTTAATACATTGTAACTTTTTCTTAGAACGCACGATTATAATAAAAAATACCTTAGGCAAGAATCTTAACTTGACTCTAGACAGAAGTTTATCATGTAAGCCCAATCATGGAAAAATAAATATAATAAAAAATAATATTTTAATCCATCAAACTTCTTTGTCGCTCCATAAAAAACTCTAAAAAAAAATATGTTTGCCAAATTCCAACTTTTCCAACTTTTTCGCTCACTGTAAGCTCTTCTAGCTATCGATCAACTAATTTATCAATTATGTCACATTTAATGATAAATTTAAAATAATTTTATCGCAGCGATATCATTGTAAAAAATATTTTCCCTATCGCAGCAGTAGCCCATATATAAGCCCAGTCCATTCACAATGCCCGTTAGAGTGGCCAAGTCAAGGCTACGAAAGAGCTGAAAGTTTATAAAGGCAAACCAAAGTGAATAAAAGAATGTTCAAGTATTCGAGCCTGCTCCTGCTGCTGGGCATCGTGGCCCTGATCGGGGCCGAGGTGCATCGCATACCCATACACAAGCACGAGCACAAGCGCACGCGTCTGCACCACAAGGCGGCGACACGGTCCCTGAATCAGAAATACCATCCACAGCGGGCGCTCTACGTGCCGGACTATGTGGCGCCCAACTATGATGACTCGAGCAGCGAGGAGGATAGCAACGAGTATGTGATCGAGACGCTGTCGAACAATCAGAACATGGATTACTATGGTGTCATTGGCATCGGCACACCGCCTCAGTACTTCAATGTGGTGTTCGATACGGGCTCCTCGAATCTGTGGGTGCCCTCGGTGCAGTGCTTGCCCACAGACGTGGCCTGCCAGAACCACAATCAGTACAACTCCAGTGCCTCGAGCACCTATGTGCCCAATGGCGAGAGCTTCTCCATACAGTACGGTACGGGCAGTCTCACCGGCTTCCTGTCCACGGACACCGTCACCATCAACGGCCTGAGCATCGCCAGCCAGACCTTTGGCGAAGCCATCTCCCAGCCCAACGGCAGCTTCACTGGCGTGCCCTTCGACGGCATTCTGGGCATGGGCTACATGAGCATCGCCGTGGATAATGTGGTGCCGCCCTTCTACAACCTGTACGAGCAGCGATTGATCGATGAGCCGACCTTTGGCTTCTACCTGGCCCGCGATGGCTCGGCTCAGGCTGGAGGCCAGCTGGTACTGGGCGGCATCGACTCGCAGCTCTTCAGCGGCAATTTGACCTATGTGCCGGTCGTCCAGCAGGGCTACTGGCAATTCGTCGTGAACAGCGCCGAGATGGGCGGCTATGTGGTCTGCTACAATTGTCAGGCGATCGCCGATACGGGCACCTCTCTGCTCGCCTGCCCCGGCAGCGCCTACGCAATGCTCAATCAGCTTATTGGCGGCTATCTGATGGATGGGGATTACTATGTCGACTGCTCCACGGTGAGCTCGTTGCCCCCACTCAGATTCAACATTGGCGGCACCATCTTCAGCCTGCCCCCGTCGGCCTACATCAGCAGCTTTACCGAGAACAACACGACCTTCTGCATGTCCAGCTTCACGTACATCAACACCGACTTCTGGATCCTGGGCGATGTATTCATTGGACAGTTCTATACTCAATTCGATTTCGGCGAGAATCGCGTCGGCTTTGCACCTGTGGCCTAAGCAACGTTTGGATCTATCCCGAACACTCAAATTGAGCAACAAATGCGAATCTATATAAAACAAAGTTTATAAAAATACCAAAAAAAATATGACTGCATTTAAAATAAAAATAAAAAAAAATGTATAAAATTTATTCAATTATTTGCCAATACAAAAAAGGTTAAAAAATATTTTTTTTAAATATGACTGTGTTATATATGTAAATATTTTTTAAAAATAAAATATTAATTCATTTCCTAAATTGGTTTTTATAAGTAAACCAATGTTTATAAAAATAGCAACAAAATAAAAAAAAATGACTTCATTTAAAATTAAAAATAATACTTAAATGCTTCGTATTCATAAATAGCATTCCAATATCTGACAAAGTTTCTAAAAAATATCAACTAAAATATGACTGAAAAATATGTATAAAATTAATTAATTTAATATATATATAATATATATATTAATTAATATCATTTTAAATTTGTGTTTAACAGTCCTTCAAAGTTCATAAGAATATCAGCAATATGACTGAATTCAAGAAAAAATTTAATATTAATTCATTTTTAAATTTGTTTCTATCAGTCAATCAACAATTTGTTCAATATTATTATAATTTTTCTTTCATGTTAAAAATTTAGAAGCGTTCCACAGCATGATGAAATTCAATGATTTTTTACGAACAAATTGGTAAATTTAAAATTAAAAAAAAGATTATGTAAAGATCGAAAAAAAAAGAAAAACATCTGCAAAACGAGAACTGCATACAAAAAAATCTGATTAATTGTAATAAAAATAATTTCAAATGATTTCCTCAGAATTATTTGTTCTCCGGAGTTGAAGGCTTGCTGGGTGCAGTTGTAAAGTTGCCGCCGTAGATGCCACGCGGAGCGCGCTGCTGTTGTTGTTGCTGCTGCTGTTGCAGCTGCTGCTGATGCAGCTGATGTTGCTGCAATGCACGTTGCTGCAGCATAGCCTCATAGAGTATGGCAGCAGCAGCTGCATTGGACGTCTGTTGGTGCTGTTGCTGCTGCTGCTGCTGTTGCTGCTGCTGTTGCTGCTGTTGCTGTTGCTGCTGGTGCTGCTGCTGTTGTTGATGCAAATGCTGCTGCTGCTGCTGGTGGTGCATCTGCTGCTGCTGATGCTGCGTGGCACTCTGACGCAAATTGGCAGCCAACAGCTGAGTATAGACCTGTGTGATATCGTTCGCATTGCCCGAGGCCATGCCATAGATGGGCATGGACATGTTGCCGGAGGCGCCAGAAACTAGATGCTGCTGCTGCTGGGCCTGTTGCTGTGGCAGCTGCTGCTGCAGCAGTTGCAGATACAGCTGCGACAGCTCAGTTATGGATGCGGCGCTCGCCTGGCCACGCCCCAGCTGACCACTGACATCGCCGCCCCCATGCGAGCAGTGCGCATGCTGCTGTTGCAGCAAACCCGACAGCATTTGATTGTAAGTACAGTTCTACAAGAACAAAATAAATGCCAAAAAAAAAAGGTTTAGATATTAAAAAAAAAAAAAAAAATTAAAAAAACATTATTTTTAAGTTTTTGTTTAAACAAAAAATGACGAAAATACAGAACAAATATCCAAGTCTAAATAATTTTTGTTTTTTTTTTTTTAACAATTATTATTATTCGCATTAAAATTTTGTTTTGAATTTGTATTCTCAATTTAAAATAATGTTAAATAAATTGAAACACATCAAAATTGTAGATTATACATTTATATTTCACAATAATTGATTTGTTAACAATTATAAAAACAATAAATTGTCTAAATGTATATTTTAAATTGAGTAGACAATGAAAACGTATTAAAAAAAAACTAAATTTTCTAAATTCTAAAAAAAAAGTAAATCTATTTCGATCGAATTTAATGCGTCTTAATTTCTATTTTTGGTCAATATATAGATTTAAATAAAAAAAAAATATATAATATAAAAAAATATTATCGGCAAAAAAAAGTTTTGAATCATTTAAGTTAATTTTTTAGTTAAATTTTTAGTTTAGTTCA